TTTAAATAAATAAATTACAACATAAGAGAAAATCTTAGTGATTTGAGCTGGGCAAAAATTTCTTAAATAGAACACAAAAAGCACAACCTATAAAATTTTAAAAATAATGGATAAATTGGGTTTCATCAAAATTTAAAATGCTGGCTCTTCAAAAGACATTAAAGAAAATAAGAAAGCAAGCCACAGACTGGGAGAAAATGCTTGCAAAATATATGTATGATAAAGCACCTTTATCTAGAATATATATAACTTACATAACTCATTAAAGAGAAGACAACTCAGTTTTTAAAAACTGACAGAAGATTTGAACCAACACTTCACTGATGACTACATACAAATAGCAAATAATGTAAAAATGCTCCACATCACTTGTGTTCAGGGAAATGCAAATTAAAAATATGGAAAGATGTTATTACACACACAGTAGAAGGGCTAATACTAAAACGACTGATAACACAAGTGTTCGCAAGGATGTGGCGTCACTGAACTCTCAAACATGGCCAGTGGGCTACCAAACTGGAACCACCACTCTGGAAAAGTTTGCTGGCATCAGGTTAAATATACACTTACTCTATGACCCAGGATTCGTCTCTGAGGTATCTACCCAAGAGAAATGAAAACATATAGACACACAAATGTGCTCCTAAATGTTCAGAGCAGCCTTAAAAAAAGTAGAAGTTCTGAACTGGAAATAGCCCAAATGTCTATCATCTGGTGAGTGGATAACCAGATTGTGATAAATCTTTACAATAGAATACTACTCACAATAAAAGGAACAAACTATTGATATATGCAAGAACAAAGATGAATCTCAAAAGTACTGTCTTGAGTAAAAAAAAAAAAAAAAGACATAAAAGTCTACAAGAGTATGATTCCAGAAATTCTAGAAAAGGCAGAAATATAGCGATAGAAAGCAGATCAGTCTTGGCCACAAGAGGGAACCAATCGCAAAGGGGCAGGAAGGAACGTTTCCGGGTGATGGAACTGGTCTCTATCTTGATTGTGGGAATGATTACATGACTATCTGTTGCAATGAGTCAAAACTCATCAAATTACACACTTAAAATTGGTTAATATTATATGCAAATTATACCTCATAGAAGCTGACATAAAAATATATTTGAAATATTTAACTGTGTCTTTTGAACTTTCTTTTACAAATTGTTTTAAATTCTTTTTGAAAAGATTTTATTTATTTATTTATCTGAGAGAGAGAGAGAAAGGATAGTGTGAGTGGGGGAGGAGCAGAGGGAGAGGGACCGGCAGACTCTGCACTGAGCGCAGAGCCCAACACGGGGCTCGATCCCATGACCTGAGATCATGACCTGAGCCAAAATCAAGAGTCAGACGCCTAACCGACTGAGCCACCTAGACGCCCCCAAACTGTTTTGAATTTTGAAGTTTATATTACACATAAAGGTATACAAATCATAAGGGTCTTATCACACACTCAGTATGTGAGTGAGTTAACACCAAGCAAGCACCCATGTAAATGCCCCCCAGAGAAAGAACACTGTGAACACCCAGAAGGCCCATTCACTCCATCTTTTCGAAAGTTCACTATTATCTGGTCTTGTAAAAGTAGAATATTGCTTGTTTTTAAACTCTCACCTCAAGAACACTGTGTAGTAGATTTAACCTTATCCAAGAAAAGGTCTGGCCTTTGCCTTAGGCTCCTGGAAGCTGATATCTAAGCCCTTGCAATACCCTGCCTGGTAAGTATCTGTTTACCTAGGGGCGCTGGGCCCAGTGGTTATCAGCCTGACCTGCAGAGGAGCTAGCGATTAAAGGTCAGCAGCATGTAGTTGGGCCCTCACTGAACACCGAGCCTCTGGGGCACCTCCCTGGTTGGCAACACTCCAGGTGTATTGTCCTATATCTTGCTGGGAGAAATCAGCTCCGTCCAAATCCCACTGGGAGTGGACGACTGGAAATTCCATGCGAGTAATGCTCCTGCACTTGGCACCATGCACCTCTTCCCTTGACTGATTTTAATCTGTATCCTTTTGCTGTAATAAACTATGGTCATGAGTATAACAGTCTCTGTGAGTTCTGTGAGCCCTTCTAGCAAATTACCAAACCCGAGGGTGCTGGTGGGAACCCCTCCGAACTGGCAGTTGACACCAGAAGAGAAGGTGGTCTTAAGAGACACACCTGAACTCTGCAGGAGTCCTATGGTTATTACGTCTTCGACGCAGCATTATGTATCTGAGATCCATTCATAATGCACCTTGTAAGGACAGTTTATTCACTGTCGTCACTCATGCAGTGACAATGAATTGACCATTATTTACTCACTCTACTGCTGATGGACATTTGGATTTTTTCCAGTTTTGCCTTGTTACTGAATAGACCTAGAAGGACAAATAGAGAAATCCACAATCAGAGCGGGAAATTTTGATTCATCTGTTGCACCTGATAAGAACAAAGCAGATAAAAAAAATCAGTAAAAACATAGGTTTTGATTATACAATTAACAAATTAGATTTGACATCACTCAATACTTAAAACTCCTGTGGGCTTTCTCCGGGAGCAACGGTAATAAACATTTTCCCCAAATGCTTACTATATTTTTGTACCACTCTAAGAACTCTGTAAGTATTATTTCAGCTAATTTCATAACAAATCTTCCAACTTTACAGCTGAGACACTGAAGCATGGAAAAGTTAGGGAATTTATCCAGAGTCCCATAGCTAAAAAAACGGCAGATCAAGAGTTCAAATCTGATGCAAGAGCCAAGTTCTGAACTCCTGTGCTGTTTTCTGCCTCTTCTCGAGGTAATGTTGGTATATGCATCTTCCTTGGAAATCATTGATTCCATCCAGAGTTTAAAATTTATTAGCTTGAGCTGAACTTCATATTGCGATATGAAGTCCTAGAATTTCTATCAGATTAAAACTGCTTTTTAGCCGTTTATTTTTCCTTTTCATATCATGAACCTTATAAACTCATCTGGAGGGAATAATTATAATCTTATAGTTAAATTCCATGACAAAAATATTCATTGTCTCACCTAAGACCTATTGATCACCACCAGTTTCTGGAAGCTTGATGCCTGAAAATAAACATTACGAACACTAACGAGATACAATCGTCTGGGCATCATCATTCACGGAAAGGAATTTTTCTTGAAGTTGTCTTAAGCATTACGACTATAAAGCAACGTACGCTGGCAGTAAAATATTAAAAAAAAAAAAAAGTCCTTTCCTTTCTGCGTGATCGTTTGACCTATGGTCAACTTTCTACCTTTGTTCCTCCTGGAAACTTGACCTAAATGGTAAGTTAACTGAGTCACTATGACATAGTTGTGGGTAAAAACTGCTGATTGCACCCAGACTAGAACAAACTATGAATGGACCAGAAATACCCAATAGTGACACCATAGCTTTGACTCTACGGGCATAATTAGGTCTGACTGACAATTTTAACTTTTGCTCTTTAAACAAAGGAGTTACAAGAGCATATTGGGGTTGCCTTTAGCACCTAACTCAATGCATTAGGGGTACCAATTAATTCTTGGTAATAAACTACAGTCAGGATTAGTGGTTATCTCAGCCCTTTAAAAATAACTCTTTCGGGCGCCTGGGTGGCTCAGTTGGTTAAGCGACTGCCTTTGGCTCAAGACATGATCCTGGAGTCCCAGGATCGAGTCCCACGTCGGGCTCCCTGCTCAGCAGGGAGTCTGCTTCTCCTTCTGACCCTCCCCCCCCATGCTCGCTCTCTCTCTCTCAAATAAATAAATATTTAAAAATAAATAAATAAAAATAACTTTTGTTCTCAGGTGCACCCTCCCACTCTCATCTTACTCTCCCCCATGGCATGTATCACCGTCTAGCCCACAGTGTCTGTTTATTTGCTTATTGTCTGTCCTCCTTCTACCACGAAGTTCCAGAAGGGCAAGAGCTTTTATTCTTGTTCGCTGCTCCACTCCCAGGTCCTACAATAGTAACTGATACATAGTGGGGGTTCGATGAGGATTTGTTGGATGAAGCTCCTACTAAGGTGTGGCCATTATCTGATGGACTAAAATCTTACTGGGCACCTACTATGTGTCAAGCCCTGTGTTAGTAAGGTGAGGGGACAGAGTGGTTATCAGCTGTGATTTTACAGCGTTAATAATCAAAGAGATAAAACTTCCGACAATTCTCTACTGACCAAGAATATTTTCTTTATTAAAATGTTGTACGATTACATCACTAAGATTCTACCTGACTTAGCTCAATTAGTAACATGCACAGCAGAAGTTTATCTTCAACGCGCTGTATTCTCGCCCCAGGATCCCAAATACTTCACAGACGACTTCACTCACTTCTACAAACTGGCCCTGTTCCTCCCCATTCAGGAGAAGCCTACATTTATGGATAAAATGAGGTCAGCCATAGTAGTAGACCGGATGTGTCCTAACCAATCTCTGCTCCCGAATTTCTCTCAGGCACGCTCCTTTGGTGCTTTTCCCCGAGTTTTCTCTTGGACGAGGAAGACAGTAAGTTTAGTCTCCTTTAAAGGACCACGCTGAGCTCTCTGCCCTGCAGCTACGTTCCCGCGACAGTCAGACCTTCTGAAGAACCACACACCAGTTGCCCTGATCGTAGTAGCTCTGCAGCAGGCGGACGTGACTCAGGCTCCGGCAGGCCTCCTCCAGCTCGCCCGCGCAGAACACGTGGTAGTAACGACGAAACACGGGGCCTGGGCCGTGGGATCCTGTTGCACGGACAGGCTCGTCTCTCGCAGGGTTGCCCTTACGGTGCCAGGGAACCAGTATGTCTTGAGAACGGAAAGAAGTCCTGTTAGTGTGAACCGGCAGCTTGGCATCAGTGACTTTGCGGGCGCCACCCCCTGCCGCCCGGACGTCGGGAGCGGCGGAGCCTGGGCGCGGGGCGTCCTGGTCGCCCGCGTCAGGCACCTGCTCCAGCAGCCGCCCTGGCTCGGCTGCGTGGCTGTGGGTCGCCTCTTCCTCTCCTTGGCGAGGTCTGTTTTCTCTAAGGTACTTGGATTTCTTCTTCTTATATTCCTGTTCCATCGCCCAGACGTAAATGAGTGCCATCCCCCCAGGTCTCAGGAGTCGAACAAGTTCTTGGAGAGCCGCCACTCTACGCTCCTAGTGGAAAAAAAAAAAAAACCACGTTGTCCTTTATCAACCGAGAGGAGACACAGCAAACAGGAAAGTATAACTGACGAAAGTATCACTGATTTTTTTTCTTAAAGATTTTATTTATTTGACAGACAGAGACAGAGAGAGAGGGGACACAAG